GCTGTGAGGCGCCAGTGCTAAACACTGAGCCACCGTGCCTCTCCAATTAGTCAAACATGATTTACAACAGTTCTTTAAAGATGCAACAAGCTAGGTGGATAATGGGAATCCTGCAGATGTAGCAAATCTGGACTTTCAGAAGGCATTCAATAAGGTGCTACACAAAATGTTAATACATAAATTAGATCACATCGGGTTCAGGGTAATTTATACCTTGGATCGAGGACTGGCTAACCAACACGAACCAGACAGTCAGAATAAATTGGCTTTTTTCAGACACAGACTCCAGACTAGTGGTGTCCACAGTGTTCAGACCTCAGGCCCCAACTATGTATCATCTAAATTAATGAGTTGGATGCAGGGATAGAAAATACTACAGCCAAATTTACACATGACACTAAAATAGGTGGGACAGCAAATTGCATTGAAGAAACAAAAAATTGACAAATGGATTTGGGATAGGTTAGGTGAGGTGAGGTGAGGAGAGGAGAGTGGAGCAACATTTGGCAGTTAAGGAGTCAACTACATTGCTGTAGATCTAGTCGCACGTCGGCGGGACCAGATAAAGATGACAGATTTCCTTCTCTGATGCATATTATAGCAACAGGTGGGATATTTTTCCCTCAAGAATTAACAGCACTTTTAATGGCGTTTAATTCCAAATTTCACTATCATGTGCTTGGCCCAGATCCCTCCAAACCTTACCTATTCATGAACTTATCCAAATGTCTTTTAAACTTTGTACCTGCATCCACCACTTTTTCTGGCAGTTCATTCTATAAATGAACCACTTTGTGTAAAAAAGTTGTTCCTAATGTCTTTTTCTTCTCTCACCTTAAAAATATGCCCCCTAGTTTTGAACTCCCCCACCCTATTGGGAAAATGGTTGAACTGAAGGGTTTGTTTCCATGCTGTATGACTTATGACTATGTGGGACAGTGGGATTCAAACCATGTCCCTGCAACATTAGTGTCAACTTGTGGAATATCAGTTGTGACATTATACCAGAATGCAGCAGGTGCAAACTAAATGCACGACAGCAAGTTTATTCCTATTATTTCAAGTTTAAATACTTTGAGTCAAACAATTTGAATGTTAAATACTGCCAGTATAAACTATTATAAGTGTAGAATCTCATTTGAATTGATATTGCTTGGTTGATTCAACAGTGAAACATTTGGGTTAATGTACTGAAATCTATAATTCCTTTTCAGTGCTTAGTGTTTATTTCTTACACCTTACATTGCTCAAGATACAAATTGCCCTGTGCAGTCAGGATCCTGAGGTCATTTATCCACACTGTGCCTTTAACACTTTGAACAATTTGATATGCAATAAACATGGAAACCTAGGTATGCAAAGACAAGACTCACTGACAACAGATAATGTTCATTGCCCCATCACAGTTCTCCCACATTATTATAGGAGACACAAGGTCAACTTCTAGATGTATACCAATCAGAAACACTAGCATGACCTGTATATCTACCCAAATCCATGTCTTGGAGTAATCTCAATTTTCGTTAACTGAATATTGGGGAAAAATGAAGCTTTAATTCCATTACCATTTATCATGAGCTACACTCCTTTCCCATTAGTATCATCTTCCTGCATAACCATTCACTCTGACAAACAGGCAACACAAAGCTTTGGTACTTTAATCACTACTGAGCTTAACTTCAAACTCCACATCCTTTGCATTGTCAAGCTTGTTCATTTTTAACAGTGAAACACTGGCCAGCTTCACCCCTAGCTTATTTTACCAATCTGTGAAACCCTTATACAAGTTTCAATTTCAGATTTAAACGCTCCAATGTCCTTTCCTGTCTGCCATGCTTCAGGCCATCAAAGATAATGGCTTTGGGGATAAATTTCTCAGCTATTGTCTTTGAAATGGCAGTCAAAAAGATCAAAAATATTTGGAGCAATTTTCATTAGCTCACCTTTCTTCACTTATTAATAGATTTTGGTCAATGCGGTTTTCAAATTCAGTTGCTTGTTTTCAAAAAAGTAATAAATGATTTTCATTTCCATTTGTTATTGTCAATTGGTACATCTTCTACCGTCTCAGATGCAACTGGCTGCTGCCTTGTGAAAATAAAAAATAAAGCTCATCAAATGCACATAACCTTCCATATTACTTAAAATAATTGTTGTAAGTAAGGAAATTAGGAGTTCAGAGTGATGTCAAACACATATGACCCATTTGGCCTGCTCCATGAGGACCACTACACTGGACATTCACTTCATTTTGGATTCCTTGCTGCCAGATCATGAGATGACTCCGAATTCAAAGGATATGAAATTCCTTCCTTTAGCTCCTTGGACAGAAATTTTGACTTTTTTTACTGTAATTATCAATGGTGTTTCTCAACAATAACAAAAAAAAATTCCCTTTTTACTCGTTATATGTTTGCTGTCATTCACCTTTAAGATATTGAAGATCATAATCAGATCTGGCACAATAGGCGCTAGATAATATATAACTTGGGTCTCATTTCGTCAAATGTCATGGAAAAGCCAGTGTTAAAACACTCATTTCATGTTCTTGGTGACTGCATAATCTTACCTTCTTCCCGGATTGTTTTTCCACCATATCGATGTTGAGTGGGTAACCTTCTGAAAGTGGTGTTTTAGAACACCCACTCTTGGGCATCGTTTCTCCTTCCCGCTGCCGTCACCTCATTCAAACATCCACTGCATCATCATCGACTGTCTGCAGTAAACAAACGGAAGTGCAAGTTACAGCATCCATGTTTAATTGACTGTGATGTATCTGTCAAAATTTGGTCAAAAATTAATTCTGGCATGATACATTTTAGATTAGAGGTGGAATCCGAAACGTCTCCTCAACTTTTGCAAGGGTACAGCCGGTGTAGAACACACTATCACTCATTCTGTTCATTTTAAATCATGTCCCTTCTTGAGAAAATGCTGATATGCTTCGAATTCCTACAGTATCCCCATACAATTCTTGCTACTACTTTGGTGCTCAAGGTGATCACACTAGACCACTGCTGTCATGATAAATTTTGAACTGTTGACTGTTTAAATATCTGTAAAAAATCAACCATCATCTTGTTTGCATTTGATGCTATTGGGGTTACTCAAGTATTGCCACGTTAAACAATGTTACTGCAATTCAAATAACACAAAACTGGATTCTAAATTGTACAAAAATTTTAAGTGCATATCAAACTGATTGTGACCTTGACTCCACATATAATTTATAGATTGGACTCTTGTGGCACACTGCTGGTGACCCCATTACTGGACCAAGAGACCTGGATTCAATTTCTAACTGCTTCACAGCATGTAATAACATCTCTGAACAGGTTGAGCAAAAAATATCCACAATGATCAATTTCACTGACCTTATTGATCTTGAGGCAGAAGGCACAAGAGGAAGGTGGGTAGGAAGAAAACCCAAAGACCCATAGGTTGAAAAGAACTACAATAACTCTGCACCAGGGCTTTGGCCATGACGATCTTCAAACATTGTACTCATGTGGAGAGAGTGAATTTATCCCAATATCTCAATCAGAAATCTATGCAACAGCACTACTTGGCAATACAGTCACAGCTCCACTATATTGGGGAATTCACAATCTTGATTTTAAAATTGTGCTGCTTTCCCAGACATATTAACTAAAAGTTTCATCACCAGATTATAGATATTTTCTGATCAACCTGTTCAGAGACGTTATTACATACCTCTGAAGCAGGTGGGACTTGAACCCAGACTTTTTGATCCAAAGTTAGGTACACAACTGCTGTGCTACAACACCTGTCAACTTGGAGAAAACTGCCAGATTATATAGACAGTGGGGTGATGGGGAATAGTCTCGTGTTTATTTTGAACTACTGACAATATTTCTTCAAACAAGTACTCTTTGGTGAAACAATAACAATGCTACTAACTGAGCAACAACTGTCATTCAATGTCACTTTTAAGTCACAAGTGGAGGGCTCAAGTCCCACAACAGACCTCAAATACAAAAATTGACACTGCAGTACTGTACACAAAGGGAGCACAGCACTGCCGCAACTATCATATTTTGGTTGACACATTAAATCTAGGCTCCAACTCAGGTGGATATAAAAGATCCCATAGTACTGTTTCAAAGATGTATTTATCGCTGGTGTCATAGACAATATTTTAAACACAAAAACTGACTAACAGCTCATTATCACATTGTTTACGCATGCTGCTTTATTCCCTACATTATAACAGTTACCAAACTTCACCATTTTGTCTACTGTAAAGTGCTTTCAGCCATTAGGTGGTTATGAAAGCACTACATAAATCTAAATTTTTTTATTTCTGTTCCCTTACAGGGAAATTTAAATTTAGACAAAACATTTTTTCCAGCTTCTTCTGCAACGATATAGAATGCAAACCAAATTATTAAGGCTCTTTCAAACTTGGATTGGATGTTAATTTCAACTCAAGGCATAAAGATGCAAATAGATTTACACTGATGTAGTTGTTACAATGAAGTTTATAAAGCTAGTATATCTCGTACTATAGCTTGAACATTGAGGCAAAGAGTATCATGCGACCTGTTATCAAAACTACATGACAGTAAATCTGAGTGATTTGACTGTTGAGAGATCAAAAGACTTAGACTATTTGACTGATAATAAAAGGTGCAAGTTGATTATACTTGGAGACAGTGGCAGCAATGAGATTGCAATGAGTTGATTCCCAAAGTCACTGAAAAGATGTAAATTATACATTTATTTCTAAGATGAAAGGGAATCAAAAATAGCTAATTAACTAAATAGCCAAGTGTACCTTAACAAGAGTAATGTGTTTCGTAGTTTCACAGGGAAGAAGTCATAGGAAACCATTTTGACATGAGCTTGCAGGCTTCCATACAAATTAATGAATATCACAAACAGATAGCAACAAACAGAAAAGGCTGCTTGCCTTTGCAACCTACCAGGATCAGATGCATGAGGCCAATGGTCTAGTCAAAAAGACACATGCTGCAGCATTTCATGAATTCAAGGTGATTTGTTTTGGCATGGTCTGGGAGAAGAAGAATCATTGGAACATGCTTTAAAGCCAAGGAAAATGCCTGGAGATGGTCACTTGAAGTTGCTGCTTGGTGACATGCAAACCCATTGATTGGAAACAAAGCAACTGCAGGCTACTTTCTAAAATACTAATTCATTGGAGTTTAACAGGTGATAAGCATAAAAGGCAAATGTTCCACCCTCTGGTTCAACACTTAACTGTACATAAAAAGAAAGTCCTATTCAAACAATGGTCTTCATTCACTTATTCAGTCATTTGGTAGTGAAAGTTTTAAAATGTAAAATCTTGATGCATCATTCTTTCAGCTATTATTTGGAAGTCTGAATTTCTTTTGAAAGATTCAGTCTCTATGGAAATCAGTGTTACTTGTGGCCAAATAAAATACTGCGGTACCAGTTCTCTCTCTCTCTCGCCCCATGTATCGTTGCTCCTGATTCAATCTCACAATAATGAGCTCACATGTCAAAAAGAAATTGTTACAATAACAAGACAGTAAACATTTAATAATGGATGGGGTGGGATGCTCAAAACAAGACATGTACAACTGTTACAATTTTCCTCGAATTTTTTTTAACCATTGCAACTGTATCATGAAAACACCAAATATTGTATTTAGTTTGCAAAAGGTTGAAAACACAAGTATCATGCAAACAGGTTTTACTGACACTGAACTTCTAACTCTAAATTCTAAGCACAATAATTGCTAAAGAATAACTTTATATATAGTAGAAAATATTTCAAGTTTCCCGCTTTTAGAAACGGATATCGGTTTCTAGTTGGTTGCTGGAGATGGAGACAGAGCCACTGGCAGTTGCTCAAAGTTGTATTATCTTCCAGCCTTGTCTTTGAAGAATGACTAAATGCTCCTAAACATAACTGTGAAAAGTGTAGCTAATCTAGCAAGAAAGCAACTTCAAATTGTGATTTATTGTACATGTGGAGATTTGCTGATACATTTTGGTCAGTATGCACACATGATATTCCACTGCTAAACTGTCACCATGAGAATCATGCTGCAGCAACACAATAACCAAAGCAAATCAATGGCAGGCAATGGGATCCAGAATGGTTTTCTCAGATGTTTGTATTAAAAAGTTGTATTAAATAGTAATTTGCTAGTACAGAATGAGTATTTTGAGAAGAATAAAAATTCACAGGTTGTATCAAACAGCACATCTCTCCAGTCGCTCACAACAAGCACAGCACTGAAGGTATGTCATCAACTTGCACTTACAAAACTTGCAGAGTATTCAGCATTGGATGCGATTCTACATTTGACAACATTGTCTTAATAATCCTGGGTGAGTGAAGAATTACCCTGGTCAGTCAGGCCTGCAGTGTGGTACACGGATATACTACAAACCAAATGTATCAATGTACAGGGTCCTGTTCTTGGCTGGGAGAAAGAACATGTACATGCACTATGCCTGTTTTAACACAATAAAACAGATGACAACCATTCACTGATTCAGTTCTTGGGGCAAAGCCCTGACCAATCCAAGTCAACTTGCCTTTCTTTTCTTTATTCCTTGATGGAATGAGGGCATTGCTGGCTAGGCAGCATTTATTACCCATCCCTATTTGTCAATCAGCATTATTGGTGCATTCTCCACATGAGTACCTCTATCAGAGTCCACCTGCCTACCAATTAGCATTCTCCTCTCATGCAGTATGAATTTTGGTTTTCTCTTTGAATTGGATTCTTGCAAAATATGCTAATATGACTACAAGATGCAAAGCTTCAACATAACGTGCATTTTTCAGCAATACACAGTACATTTAGCTAGATAAAGCTGTTGACTGCATGGACAAACAGCACAAAAGCAATAAAATATCATCTTGGATAATAATCTGAAATAATTTAGGAGATAGCGCAGGGTATCCATGTTGAAACGGGTGCTGAAATTATAAATCTCCTAATCAATGTCCAACACATTAATGCATAGATTAGGCAGAAAATAGTAATCAGAAGAATTTAGACATTGCTGCAAATTACAGCGTTATTAGTTTACACCATGCCATTGTTAACTTGGCAAAACAGCAGCGTATTTAACTGTCCCATAATTCAAAGTTACAGTACTGCCATATGTAATTTGCTACAGGCAATCAAATTTAACTACAAAACTAATTAATTTCTTTTATCAATCACAGAATTGTTAATGATTGCCAATTAAACTTCCTTGTGAGAAATAAAACAACTTTAAGACAGGGCTTCATTTTATTAGAGTTGAAAAGTTATTTTTAAAATTTGTGACTCTTAAGAAAAAAAAAGCACTTCTGCCTGTGTGTCTTGGTTTTGTTTAATCCAGTCGTTCTTTCTCCATTTCCTCTTCTGAACTACATTTGATATAAAATTCATCCACTTCTATTCATCCTTTTCCTGTTTTTGTTTGTTTGTTTTTGGGAAGTGGGCATAGTTGGCAAGGCTAGCATTTATTCCCTTTTCCTAATTGCCCTCAAGATGATGTTTCAAGGAGGTGACTCAATCTACTGCAACCGATGGTTCACTGAAACTCTTCGACGCCGTTTGGAGTTGCTCGATCAGTTCCGAATTGAGCTGTACACAATACAATTCTGGATATCAGAATATAAACAGGACTTTGTCTCCATAGTACGGCACCACTCCTGCCCAGTACTGTAACAGACAGTTCATCTGCAGCAATGAGATTGGT